ATTTTTCCCAGCCTCTACACCTCTGCCTTCAAGCTGTGGGACCCAGCAGGACTTTCACCTTCCTGGTCCACAGGAGCCGGGGGTAACAGAGCTCAGGGCTGAGGCTGGCTTTGAAACAGACTCCAACATGCTCTTTTTCTGGCTTCCACATGTACTTTGCAAACTTTCAGGTTGTGCCCAGCTAATTGGCTTGGGCACAACCTCTGGGAGGTTCAACAGTTTCCCCAGCATAGAAATTCAAGAAAGGGTCAAACCCCAGGAACTCACACCAGCCATGCTTTGGGGCAGCCCAGGCACACTTACATCTGTGCCCCTGGCTCTAAGATAAACCACCAACTTCAGGGCTCAGGGAATGCGGTGGAACCTCTCCCGGGAGGAACGGACTCACCAGTGGGATGAAACAGAGGATTGCTCAAATAAGCTCAATGGAAAGTGGTTTCCCCAGCATCGCTCCCTATCTGGGTTTGCACTTCCCCGCCTTTCAAGCTGCTCTGAGCACGGCTAATCCCAATAGGGCTGGGCCAGAAAGCAACAAAAAGCGTTTTCTTTGCAAAAGACATTCAGGGACCCCCAGAGCAGAGGTGACAGGGCCCAGAAAGGAGCTCCCCCTTGGCCAGGGAGCGAGCCCCCAGGGCCAGGCTAGAGCTCATGAGCAAGAGAAGATCAATTTCCATCTTTAAGGATCTCCCAATGTGTTTTTCACATCCCAGGCCTGTCCCCTGCATGGCATGGGCAAGCAGTGGGGTTGAGTCTCTCCCAGTGTCAGGGAGGGACCGCAGGGCCCAGTGCCTTGATCTACCCCAGACAAAACAGGCTGTGGGTCAGCCTAGAGCCAGACCAAGGAGGTGAGGAGACCAGGATAGGGGTCAAGCCTCAGCCTATGTACCTGAGCTAATGACCAAGCCATCAGCCATCACAGGAGAGGTCTGATCTAACAGATGTGAGGGATGCCCCACTGTGGGTCAGGACAGAAGGATCATGAAACATGGGCTGGAAAGGAGCTGATAGCTGCTGTCCAAACCATAAAGCCCAGAGTAAACGCAGAGGCAGCTCTGTTGCTTGCTGCTGAGGAGACCACATATGCATGGGGGCAGCAGCAGATGCCAACCCAGGTGCTGGAGGCACAGTTCATTTACACAGGTCTTCAGCACTTCCCAGCATCACTGATGAAACAAGAGAGCTGTGCCCTGCCCACCTTCAAGAACTGAGGAAACCACGATAAAGGAGGGGATGGACCCCACATATCATCACTAGGGCAGGGGGAGAGAGTTCTGCTGCTAGGAAGGCACTAGGAACAGAGACAGGGATGCAGCTGGGGCAAGGAAGACAGAGCAGCCCTGAAAAAGCCGCAGTCAAGGCAGTAGACAGGGCAGAGAGCACCCTGGGGTGTCAAAAGCTGCAGAGCCTGTCCCACAAGCCCCAGGACAAGCCCAACGGCTCCTGTTCTCGCAACTGTCTAACCAGCTTTTGTCTCACCTTCCCTCCCTCCAGCAAGCCCCAGGCACATGCTCGGCTCTGCTTCTAGCACCCTCCCCATGACTTGTCTTCCCAGGACACATCCCACTCCCCGAGGGCCACATCCCTGCTCTGGCAGCCACTGCCCAGGAGCACAGGGGAGAAGAGATGCTGGAAGCGGCCAGCATTGCCTAAGGAAAAAGCCATGTAATACTCTGTGCTTGAAGATCTCAAGGCAAAACCAGGCAAATAGATCTGGACAGAGGGAACTAGCCACAGGCAGCTGTCAAACAGCAGTGAGGAGGAGAGGAGAGGGGGTGTTCCCGAGCAGGGGGACTGATGCTGCCTTCCTCTAACACTCCTGGGGCTGCGATTTCCTCCAGGGAAGGTTTTGATAACCACCCAGCACTTTTCCTGCCTCTTGCACTGTCAGGAAATATTCACTTGGATCCAAGCCCCCATCTTTCCATCTAGCTAAAATTAGTACCAAGTTCCCAAAATAGCCTCATCTCAGCCTGTCTGCAGAAGCAGCAAAGCAAGTGCTCCCTCCCCAGCCCCTAAACCACCCATGGACAAGGAGACTCTCAGCAGAGATAGAAAAAGGGATTATTAGCTGTGCATAAAGGTCTCCGAGACTGCCATCACCCTTTGTCCACAAGAGCCGGTAGTGGTGATAACTCCAGACACAAGTTCCCCCGCAAGGAGCCGGCATATCAGAGCAGCTGCACCATGCCCTGGTCACACCAGATGGAGCCTCACCGGATCCATGCCACTCACACTGAGCAACCAGACAGCCCCTACAAGGAAAGTCAGCAGCTGGGTGGATGCGTGGCCCACAAGGAAAAGCAAGCCAGGTAAATAAAGAGCAACGGAAAGGGTTCAGAGACTCTGGGACTCCCCATAGAGCAGGTGAAAACAAAAGGCAGCTGGAAAGGGAGGGGTAGGGAGATGTCTCAGGGCAGATGCAGCAGCAGCGGGGATGGTGGCCAAGAGCTGGACAGGCTGTTTTCCGAAGGGCCCTGCTAACCGCTAGAGGGAGGACAGCGGGCGTCTGGCCACCGGGTCTGCCGCTTCTTTGTGTGGGAGCCCAGCGCACCCTCTCCTCCCGGTGCGGGGTGCGGGCAGGACCCCACACCCTGCACGCTGCATCCCTGGCCAGCATCCCAGCAGGAGCCAGTCTGGCAGCAGGGCACCTGCCCGCCCGGTCTCGTCACCCCCACCCTCCCTCCCAAAATGCAGTCGCTTCACGGCCCCCAAGACGAGGCCTAGCTGTTTGGTGCAGGGATAGAAGAAGCATTAGGTCCGACTTAGCCTGATTTGCTGAGGATTTTCACTCTTTAGGGGCTATTTGGTGGCCTCTGGAAAAAGGCACTTAGGTCTTGGTTCTGCTCCTGGCATAGATCTACGCACCCCCATCAGCACAAACTGCAGCTCAGCAGAGGGGAAAAAGGGATGACGGGCTATGGAGGCTGAATACCCTCTCCCCCCGCAGAGGGTCCCCTTGGGGGCAGAGGGAGGCATGCGGGCAGGGGACAGAGCATGTGCATGGCATGGCACGGAGGGAGAAGCTTGTCCTGCAGCTGCCCAGGCAGTACCTTTAGTCTTCAGGGCAGTCAAATCCAGTCCGCTTCACCAGCACTAAAGTCACTTAAGCCCTTTGCGCCAGTCACCGGAGTGGGACTTTCCTTGGAAAGCTGACCCTGCCATAGGGGCACACGGGTTATGCTGTGGACAGGCCAGGATCACCACCTCTGCCAGGCATCGGTTACGGCAAGCTCTTCGCAGAGGCATCCCACATCTTCCCCACCGTAGAGGACCCATCACCACACAGGCCCCTCTCCAGCTGCGAGACTGGAGCGTGGTAATCCAGCTCATCAGCTTCGTTAGCAGTCAGCACACTGACAGTACGGAGCAGCCCCCGTGCCTTACTTGGCACTATGCAACCAAACAGTGGTTTTCAGAGAGGGCAGAAACAGGCAGCAAGATACTGAAGCAAGGGGCTTGCTTACCCACGACACCACACGGCCGTTGAAGCAGGGAAGCTTGGCATTGTCATCCGAGATCTCTTCTTTCACCACCCTGCAGAGGAGAGAGGAGGCAGTCAGAGCTGGGTCCGGGACTTGAGAAGAAAAGGAGACTTTCCCAGGTGGGTGTCTGCACCCAACAACAAGCAGTCCAGGCTTGGAGACAGGGCAGGGAGAGGACTGGCAGCTCCGTCCTGCTGCCAGGCTACAGCTTCCTATGCCCACAGCCACGACTGGCAGGCTAGGGGAGTGAAGACAAGGGCAGAACAGGCTTTCCCTGTGCATCTAGCTGTTTTAACCTCTGATTCACATTCTAATCAGTCCAAAAAAAAAAAAAAGCGGAGATGCGTATTTCCACTAGTTCACTCATTTCTAAAGAAATACATAATTTAAACCTCTTTATAATGATCTGAAGAATCACAACCTATGCCAGAGATTTCTAACAGATGAAAGTGAAATACATTAAACATGCTGCCTCCCAAATGTTACTGTTGCTTTTTAATTATGTACATAATATTTCAACATCACTTCAAGCTTTATAGTTGTGCCACAATGTCATGTTCCCACATTACACAAACAGCTACATTATTATCAGTCCTCATACTGGAGGGAGCACTGATAATTTTTTTCCCCTCATCAACAAAACCATCAGTTTTCTTTGGAGACAAAATTTATTCTTCCTATCTTAAACATCACTGGGCACCTAAATACTTTTTCCACAGTGAGTCTGCAATCAGAATGACTTGTAAATTCACCAGATACAATTAATACCATCTTTGATAAATCAAATTTAATGGTAAAATAGGCTTTAACAAACTCATTTTCTTTTCTACTCAATGACAACATTTTAAGCACCTTTATTTCATACAAAGGCATCTTACAAATAGTTTGTGATACTAATTTCCCTTTCCAAGCTATATCTAAGGTAGCTTGACACATATTGTGCTCAAAAAAAATTATGTAGCAACTAAACAGTGAATAAATCATGTTTGGGGGGAGAAAGAATTGAACAGAAGAAGAACAAAAGAACAAATATGAAACTAAGGGAAACTTCGTATTAAAAAGAAGTAGCTTGTAAGTAACTGACAGAGTACACAGAGATGGGATCCCATCAACAGCTCTGAAGGGCTCCCAAGCCAGTCCCCAACTCACGGCGAATCGAAGAGGATGCAAGCGTGGGATGCAGGGCTGTGACCCATCGCCCCAGACTGCCACGCAGTCCAGGCACTGCCATCGAGTCACAGCACGCTGGGGCTTGGAGAAGCAGCTACTCCGGGCTCCTGGCTGCAGTCCCTGGTCTGCCAACAGCTGCCCACACTGTCACCAAAAACAGGACGGCAAGGCTCGCCAACACTTGCAAGGCATCAGCAAAAGGCAAATGAACAGAGCTGGAAGACCAAAACCTGGGGAGCAGGCTCGCTCCACCCTGCCAGCCGTGCCGGTTGCTCCAGTGTCACACAGGCTCGGCAAAGGGCTGTCCCATGGGGTGAAAGGCAGCACATCGCCATGTCTTTGCTGGCACTCACAATCCCTGCCCAAACTAGAGAGCCAGCAAAGGGACTGGACAAATGCTACCCATCCCCAGAAGGCACAGATGAGGAGGTCACGGTTTGAGCAGTCTAATCCACTCGCAGGATGTGCGTTAATTCCTCTTGCACAGATGGAGAAGCAGGGAGAAGCAGGAAAGGAGCAGTAAGGGTGGATTAAAACCCTGCTGCTTAATGCTCCTTCAGCATGCCCTGTGCCAGCCTCTGCCCAAAGTCCCCGCAGCCCAGGATAAGTGTCAAACACAAGCAGTCTTCCCCAGACCCGTCCCCTTTGCTGCCCACACCAACCCTTTCCAATGCAGGCAAGTTGTCATCTCCTCCCTTCCAAGCACACACACACATGCACGCACCCTGGCCTGGCTGCACTAGCATCCATTTATACTGTCGCCAGCAGCCTGGACTTCATCCAATTCCTAGAGAGAACTTCATGCAGAGCCAATTTTCAGGGCTGCATGCTGCCTGCTCAGGGACACAGAGCCCTGCCTGTGGGTGAAGGAACAGGGTGATATATTTGCAGGGTCAAGGTGACCAACCGCTAAGCACAAATGAACTATTCCAACTTTCAGTGGGGACAGAGGAAACCAGTCCCCAAGACCCCTCGCCCACCCTCAACTGCAATGCCTGACAGAGAACAAGCTCTCTCTGTCCTGAGGGCTGGTCCCTCATTGCTCCCGTTACCCCACTGCTGACCCAGACATCCCAGGGGTCAGCTCCACCCTGGAGCAGTTTTCTCCTTCCTTCCCCAGCCACTACATTATTTATCACTATTTATCACCCAGATGCCAGAGAACAACGGATTATATATTTAGACTCTACAGAGCAAAAAACGATAGCGCTGGCGTCAGGCACATGCCAAGCAGGAATCCCTCTGCAGTCCTGCTCACGTCTGTCACCCCTTGCACCGTCCCAGCTATTTGTGCCCTGCATTCCTCTCCAGCCTCAGCCCTGAGCTGTAGCCTTCCTCCCCCCACCTCTCACCACTCTCTTCAAGTCACACTTCTCACACGAACACGACCGCAGGTTCACGTCAGAAGCCACCAGCCGAGCAGCCTCTGGGGGAGCTGTGAGCAGTGCCACGTTTCTCCTCCGAGGTTGGATGGGGAGGCAGCCATGAGATGAAACTGTCCGGCAGATGTGCTGGGAGGGAAAACCACCCTGTGGGAAGAGCCCCCAGCTAATGGGGTCTGAACCTGGGAATCCCAAAAGAGCACCCCCAGAAGGAGCTGTCAGTTCTCTAAAAGCCTTTCCTGTTGGCAGGAGCCACCACAGCCCAGGGAAAACAGCTGCCCAAGGTTGATTTCAAAGGGGCTGCTTTTAGCGTACCATCCATCACGGCAGCCTGCTTTCAGATTTTCCCATGTTTACAGTCCTGCCGGGGGCTGGGCACAACATGTCTGAGAATGGTGGCCGGGACAAACCCCTTCTATGGAGACACAGCCCGAGCCTTGCCCAGGCGTTCGGGTCCAGCCCGCTCGGCACTGCTGCTCTGCACGGAGAACCGCCCTGCAGAACGGGTGCTCACCAGGCCCCGGTACCGTCCCGGGCCCGGCGGACATGCCGAGGCCATGCTGCAGGCCCAGCGCTCCCCGGCACTCATCTGCCTTGAATTTTCCAACAAAGAGACCTGAGGGAGGGAGGAAGGAGGGAGGAAAGAGGGAGAGGGAGGGTTACAGGGGAGGCAGGCCGAGTGGGCGGATGATTCAGCCGCC